CTTCTGTATACGGAAGCACCGGATACTCCGTGACAGGTGACTTCTGCTGTGAATCTGTGTGCATGCGAAAGAAATAGTACATTGGAAAGAGAATTACAAGTACCTATAAGAAGTGAACAAGGGAGCTGAAACTGAGTATGAATGAATCTTCGTAAATGATGCATGGCAACCGCTTACTTTTCAGTGTGAAGTTTTCGGTAGACGTGTCGTGGAAATCGCAGAGCAGGGAGAGAACAGTCACCTGTTCTTCAGTGCTCCACTTAACTTCACCATCTATGGGGAAATTTTTCATCTTCCAAACTCTTTTGACTTGGAAATATGCAGTAGAACAGGTAACGGCATGACTGCAATGACTGGTCATGCATTCCTCTTCCTGAAACTATGATTTCGGAAAGAAAAACAGGGCGTCCATAGATAAATGAACCTATGCAAAAAAGGCATGATCGAGACTTATATATGTACAATATATCTGTATCGACCGTGCCCGTGCGATCATGGATGAGAGACGCGTGAAAGACACAGGGCAGGGAGCAGGTCGGATAGTCGTGATATATCGGATTGTCTCGCAGTTCTATCCAATTTTTGATCAAATTCAAATTTCTTCAAGTCAAATTAGTGTCATTGCGAAATATGTTGGTATGTCAAAGAGTGCATCTAGACCGTTAGCCAGGACGTTTTGGAAGGTCAAACCGCATCGGGATAACTAAGAGGAGTAGTCGAAATAGATCAGTGACAATAACGAACTTCTTCTCCCTAGCGTTAGCCCCGGGCACTCGCAGGGTCCGGTGACTGACAGTAATGAATGATTATGCTTCATGGTCCTCAAATAGATACTGTTGCAAGGAGGACAACAGAGAAGATCAGCGCTGTGTTTGGCTCAGTCTCTGCTACTGATCGGTCACTGAGCTAGTGGTTCGGTCGCAATGGCAAAGACAATACGAGCTGTGAAAATCAGCCTCATCCTGGGCCTCCACTCACTTTCGATGAGGCCCCTTGCGCCATGAAGCGGAACATGGACGCTACTACCAGGTCTTTGTCAGCAACCTGGGCAAACCCGATGCACCATCGCTCGCCATCTGAATGAAAGCGGTTGTAGCAGAATGAAGCCCCGATGGGAACCGCATGAACGACCATGACCGTGAAGCACGTCTGACCATTTGCGGAAGTGTTCTCTTGCTGCCCTTAGAGGGGACCTTTCCTAGACGATCATTAATGGAGATGAGTCGCGAGTCACTGCGACAACAACGTGTGGCACGCCTGATGGCTACCTCGCAGCCAGGGCTCACCAGCTCAACCAAAGCCCAAAACTCGGTGCTCGAAAAATATTGGGCTTGATTCAATAGATTATGTGGGTATTCCGTTTCAGTAGTTGTTTTGCTACATGCAGACAAGTTCATTCCGGTGTCAGACTTTGCGAATCGCGCGATTCGCTAGAGTCTGACATCGGCCCTACTAGGAAGAAAGCGACTTTTTCGTGTTTCGCAGCTCGAAACATTCCTCGCTGCGGACACCTGAGGTGCGCCACTGATCATCAGTGGATCCGAGGTTCGCGCAGTGACAAATGTTTTCCATTCCCTTTCTGTCCTTGACAAGTATTGCGAATGTTACAATGGAGCAGGTCCCGCGGTTGGCCGCAGTAGACGGAGAGAACCGTCCTAAACGTCGCAAAATCCCTTTTCTCACAAGGGAGGTCGTTCAGGGTGTGCCAAGCTTTTCAAATGGTTTCTTTGCATGACATTGGGCACATATGGGGAACCACAAGAATGGTTCATTTTTCCTGAACGGCCTCTGAATACCAGAAAAGGGGTCCCTAGTTCGATTCCTCGTGGTGACAAATTTTTGCATTTCGAGTTGACGTTTCAAAATTCGCGCAAAATGGAGTTAGCATGAATAATTAGTACCATATTCATGATTAGGACCGTCAGTAACCCTTACAAATAGACTTTGATTGAAAAACTGGTGAAAAAGGTGTGACTAGGGACCCCCTTTTCTGGTATTCAGAGGGCCGTTCAGGAAAAATTAACCATGGTTCTGTGGTTCCCGCATGTGCCTCTATATCATGCAAAAGTTTTGAAAAAGCTTGGCACACCCTGAAAGACCTTCCTTGTCAGAGAACGAACCCAAACTCAGTTGCAAAGATAACTACTCCCGTTTGAGAAATTGCTGGACACACGATATCCATATCCATCGTATAGCCCTGCATCACCCAACTGGGCTTATCCCCTTCTCGAAATGTCTGGTAAGCCGGCAAGTCAACTAGAAAAAAAATCACTGAATGACTACAACCACGTCCAAAAAAGGACCTCGCTAAGTTCGTCAGTTCCTAGTTTCACCCAATCTATGAGGAAAGCATGCAAACGTTCCCTGGGGAATGGATGAATATCGGTGACTGTGATTGTTTTTTTTTTGATCAGTTGGTTTTTGGGAAAGATAAAACATGGAGCGAAGAAAGCTGTTCGAAATTCGACAAGGTTTTACCAAACAAGTCTAGAATTTGTTTGTGCTTCTGTAAAGTCAACCTGAGAAATCTACTGATGTGAATGTGAATCCTCTCTATAGAGCGACTTTCCAGTGATCTCAGGATTGTCTCGCTTTATTTAGACTGAAGATTAGGCAGAAACTTCATGGACGAGCTTCGCACCTTTGCGACCTTTTGGCCTGATGACAAAGGATCGAAACAATCTTGTCAAGCAGATGCTCATGCCAAAAATCGGTCCTTCGATCTCGGACCAAGCAGCATCCTGATCCATCATCAGTTCATTGGATGACCTACTGATGCATCTTTTAGTATCGGGGCACAGGCGCCAACCACAAGTTGCACAAGCACATGCTTAGGCAACCACCCAGTTTGTGTTGATGATGCCTACCCTTTCCAATTCACTACAACTTTATCTCATTGTAGTAACTACTCATAGATTTACTCGTGCTATGCATATCGCTGGGGCGCCTTTCGCAATCTCTGCTTGTATGTTTGGAATTCACGGTTGTTCGGATCGTTTTATTCAGGCATTTTCAGGAGATCTGTGCTGAGATGGAAGCTGAAGTCGATTTTGTCGTAGTAGAACATGCCTTGATGGAAGTTTCGTCCATCATCGAGGATACAATGGATCAGCTCACAGCGGTGATCGACTTTGTTGATCGAATGAATGATGCGGTACGTGTGACGACATTATTACTCACATTTTCTTTTTTTTGATAACGATCTTTCAGTTTTTTTGCACTATAATATTGTACATTAGGATTTGATGGCAAATAATTGCCGCTTAGGTGGAATACATACAAGTGGAATGGACACGCCGTATTTTTTGAATACAGCAGGCGTGAAACTACTTAAGTGGGGACCACTGGTGAATATCGGTCGAGGAAAATCGACAGGGGGTCGTACTTGTCAGGGCTGGGTCATGGGGGTCGTACTCGTTGGGGGTCAGTAACATCAGTGGCATTGTGGTGCAGATAGGAGTAGGAGGGTGTAGCGCAGCAGAAAACGAGGATGTGTGAAGTCGCTCCACTCCTCTACCTTTATGAGAGGGCGTATTTGAAGCAGTACAAAGAATGAAAGTGCATCCCCGCAAGGAAGAGGCCACATGTGCACACGCGCTGCAAAGGCACCTCCTCTATCCTACCGCCTCCCTTAATACCTCGTTGAGAATGACACTGAGAATGACACTGTGTTAGGGACGCTGTCGCAAAAACGACAACCGTGAAGGAAAGGCCCTGGGCAAATGAAGCTGTTCTCAGGTTATAGGAGTTACGAAATGTGTTTACTACAATGCAGCTTCTGTCAACTGGTCATGATCATATAACACCTTTCAATCGATTCTGCAACTTCGAGTGAGGTCGGATGCATGGCCTATACCCAGACAAAATCGGATGATGACGATTGCCCCTTTTCTTATTGCTTATGTTGGAAGAATGTATTCTAGACACATTTCGAGCGTTGCCAACGAATTACACTTGCAATGGTGAAGAAGGGAGCGGCTTTTTGAGCGGCCGAGAATCATCCTCGATAGATCCTCGACGCAAATATCTCCTCAACTAGAATGTAGAAGGAAGCTAAACATACTGTTAGAAAGCGCAAACCTTCCGCTTTCCAAAACTGTCTTCGTTTTTTCAAGATCTTGCGAAATTAGAGAGATATTGCCTTTTAAGTGGCAAAAACTCGCATGAAAATTTCAGCATCCTCGACGGATTTTGAGAGACTATATCTCTTCGAATGGAAGGCTTTCATAGCAATTCCAATACTGCCTGATAGTAGCAAATCTAGCTCTATCTAACCCTACCGCGTGCTGTTCAAAAGGTTGGGAAATGAGGAATGGAACCTTTTCATCGAGGGTGTACATTTTGATGGTTTTTTCTTTTTCTTTTTTCTTTCTTTCTTCTGTTTCTTTTCTTTTTTTTTTCGAGATTTCAGCAAATCTGACCCAGGGACAAATCGCGCCGCAGCTGCCGTTGAATCGGCCGTTGATCGATACACTCGGCTGTTGTGATTTTGCGTATGCTCTGTTTTAGGGGGGTCGTGCCAAGACCTCGATTTCAGGGGGGGTCGTACTTCTGCGACCACGTCCTCGACACGATTTTCACGCAGGTGGAGACTGTTGCCCGCTATATAGTGTCACGAGAATTTAAGGGTGTGTCCAGAGAATTTCCGACCACACCCATTTTGAGGAGTTTAACGCCCTTTTTGCGGCTTTTCCCAGGTGAGTTTTCTTTATAACTACACTTCAGATGTTCTCCAATAGGGCCTGTGCATCCTTTAGTGCCATTAGTATTGAAAGCAGCAGACCCTGCTGGGACTGTTGCTATAAGTTTGGCAAATGGATCGTGATACATTTTTTCGCGCTTTATTTTGACAATTATATTAGTTGGCTTTCCACGTAGCACAAAAAATTGTCCATGTATTTTTGTTAACTCTCGGGCTCACTTTGGCATTTAGTGGTTTTGCTGAACCACTGGTTTACCAAGTCTCTCCTTCAGAAGCTGAGACGCGATGAAGAACTTGAAGTAGAAGCTGGCAAACTTCTTGCTTGTGTATCTGCCACTGCGAGCTATGTTGATGAACTCACGACGAGGGTTAGTGTTTGAAATCCTCAGATTGTGTTTACTGTTTATTATATTATGATAATTAAGATTACAACTCTTCAACATGTTCTGCTTTACTTGAAGAAAAGGTGCGAAACGTAGTGATTTTTAATGATTTCATCTCGTCTTCTAATGTAATGTATTACTATAACGACTGAAACGTTTGCTGTATCATTTCCTATGAAATTTGCATATGACTTCAGACAGTAACGAAATAAACAGTATTTGAAGCAGAGATCATTTCAAATTCAGTTTTAAGTTATTGTAGTATGTGGAAGGATGAAGTGCGTTGACTCAGTGGTACGCTTGCACGGAGCGCATGAATACTGCACAATCTGTGGACATTGGGAACATGAGCGATTTCTTTTGTCAAAATTATGTTAAGATAGTAAATTATGTCGATCAATTTTTGAAACGTGCCGTGCATCTGGCCTCCATTCAGGATCGAAGTGGCGTTGGTATGCGATTCGGTCTACATGATTTTATTATATATTCAACGATTTGTTTTGCCAGGACTAATTTATACCGGGTAATCTATCACGAAGAGACGAAGAGCTTCTTTGCCATGGGTGGGAATCGATCGTAATCACAATCTCCGAGTTATGCGTGTAGGCGCCATTTGCCCCTCAGCTAAAATATTTGTCAGTAAACGGGGGCAAGACTCCAGCGAAACTAAAGCAGTAGGGGAAGATTAGCAAAATGCGTTTTGTGAAGATGGAAATTGTGGAAACACGATTGGATTGCCACAAGTAATCTAGGGCCAGTATTATTGGTGGATAGATAACTACGTGCTAATTCTCTCAATATGAAGAATTCGAAAAATCTAGCAAGTGGCCTTAGCTCGAAAAAAATCAGCAAATATTTATACGTCATCAATGCTGATGCTCAACTCATTGTGGTGACC